TAATCAGAATCGCCATCATCATAATCAGTCTCTTCATCGGAAATATTATCGATTCTACCCGTTGGCGGAGGTACTTCAGTCTCGTCTTCATCGTCATAATCAACATTGTTTTGAGCTACGTCAACATTGCTTTGAAAGTATTGTGAGAAGTCGATAAAAAGTCTAGCTCCAGATGAAGAGTTGTTTTGAACTATGTCAACATTTTCGACCTCCACATTGTCGACATCTTGGACAGAGTCACTGTAAGCATTTTGGACATGAGCATTGTCGGATGGTAGATCCCAAATATTTCAATGATTAACATGCTCGACGACACAACGAGGGTTGTTTTTTTGGTTTCTTCGATGATTAACAGGCTCGTGGATGTAGAACACTTGTTTGGATTGCGAAGCATATATGAGTTGATCATCTTGGTACGCTTCTTTTTCTGTGTCGATACTTATGAAATTATCATCAGGAATATCTCCCGTATCGAACCACTTGCACCGAAATATTACAGTCGAATAATCATATGGATATTGCACTTCCATAATCTCTTCTAACTGACCATAATATTTCTCTCCATCAAGAAATTTAACATCTCTTATAAATTGACAAAAGATTTTGCGGTCAGGTTTCTTGAATGAGTAGCTTGCATGTGGTCTAGTGAACTTGTTACCCTTTTTTGCAACCATTGATTACGCCAGATATTCAGATTTTTCAAGTCCTCACGTGCATTTGATGTGTCTTTACTCTTATCATTCATCATAGAAGTACCCAAAAGACTCTCACCCACATTTTTCTCGACATGCATCAAATCTATGTTGTGCTTCAGCTGCAAAGAAGACCAATACTCGAGCTCGAAAAATATGCTACATTTCGACCAGTTCAACTCGAATCCTTGCTGATCAATGTTTTCTTTGAGAGTGTTAAGATGTTTACCCGGTTTATGAAGTATTAGACGACCTAGTTGCTCTTGTATGTCTTCATTAGTAAAGTGTCTCGGAGCGGGTCTTGTCTCTGGTTGCCCATTAAATTTCAAACTCATCCTTAATGGATCATCAGCATCTAAGAACCGATGATGACCGATATAAACGACTTTATTACTGCACGGTACGACGGAGTGTCTTCATTGCAAGTCGGGCATGCTGTATACCCTTGTCCGTTCCAGCCCGATAAACTACTACGAGCTGGAAAGTCGTTTATTGTCCATAACAACATAGCTTTCATCGTGAAGAATGTGTTTGTTGCTGCGTCTTTAATGTGTACGCCTGATTACCATAAAAACTTAAGCTCTTTCACTAACAGCCTAAGGAAAACATCTATGTCCTTTCCGGGCACTTTAGGGCCAGGAATCAACAAGGCCAACATGAATGATGAATCTTTCATACAAAGCCATGGTGGTAGATTGTAAGTGGTGAGTACAACCGGCCACGTACTATGCGGATTACCCATGTTACCAAATGGATTAAAACCATCAGCTGCTAGCCCTAGTCGTATGTTGCGAGGTTCACTCGAGAAGTCAGGGTAATCTACATCAAAATTTTGCCAAGACTCTCCATCAATGGGATGACGCATCACACCATCTTCTTATCTCCCAGTACTATGTCATATCATATTTTTGGAAGTGTACTGTGAATAATACAAACGGCGTAGTCTAGGGCCACTGGAAAGTACCGTAACACCTTATGAGCCACCTTCTTACCCTTGGTGTTTTTATCAATCCACCGACTCTCTTTACAAATTGGACAAACTTGCAATGACTTGTGTTCCTTCCAGAAGAGAAAACAATCGTTTTTGCACACATGAATTGACTCGTACCCCAAACCTAACTTCTTCAGTTTCTTTTTTGCTAGATAATATGAACGGGGAACCTTGTTGTCTGGTGGAAATGTCGAATGCAACAACTCAAGGAGTTGATCAAATGAACTATCAGTACATTTGTTGTTGACCTTCATATGCATCATCTTTGCTAAAAAATCAAGGAATGAAAATGTACAACCAGGATATAACTTGGTTTCGATTGCCTCTAACAACTTTTCAAAATCATCATCAACACCACTACCCCCTGTATTCGAGGTTCCTTCATCGAGGTTTATATCGTTTTCTCTTGACTCCCACATAACATCATCAATAACATCAGCCATCTCGTTGCTTGGCGATATGACATCTACAACTGGAGGGATTAAAGATTCACCGTGATATATCCATGTTTTGTATGATTGACTGAAACCATATATATGAACATGACGTCTCATTGCTTTCAAATTCATGAAGTAACGATTATCACATTTCTCACACGGATATCTAATTTCACCTTTACAATCTAGGTGTAACATGGATCTCTCGACAAAAGTGTCGAGTCCTAGCTGGAACTCGGGAGATTGACGATGTGGATTAGTAGTCCAGCTTTTATCAATAGACATGGTGCAACTGAAACATAATTAAAGCCAAAGTTGTAATGACCAACATTAAGTCACTAAAAGTATATTTATATTATTTTCTAATTAATTTAATATTTAATTTTTTGTTATTAGTTAATTCTTTTAAGTAATTTTATTTTATTTTAATATTAGCATTAACTTCATTTTAAAACTACTGTAAGTTGATTTTACAATTAATTAAAAAAGTAATTTTATTTTATTTTAATATTAACATTAATTATATTCTAAAGGTAAATTAGTTTTAATTTCTAATTAATTTAATATTTTATTTTTTGTTATTAGTTTAATTTTTTAAAGTAATTTTATTTTATTTTAATATTAACATTAACTTGATTTTAAAACTACTTTAAGTTGATTTTACAATTAATTAAAAAAGTAATTTTATTTTATTTTAATATTAAAATTAATTTGATTCTAAAGGTAAATTAAGTTTATTTTCTAATTAATTTAATATTTTATTTTTGTTATTTAGTTTGTTTTTTAAAGTAATTTTATTTTATTTTAATATTAACATTAATTTGATTTTAAAACTACTTTAAGTTGATTTTACAATTAATTAAAAAAGTAATTTTATTTTATTTTAATATTAACATTAACTTGATTTTAAAACTACTTTAAGTTTATTTTACAATTAATTAAAAAAGTAATTTTATTTTATTTTAATATTAACATTAGTTTGATTCGAAAGGTAAATTAATTTTAATTTCTAATTAATTTAATATTTTATTTTTTGTTACTAGTTTAATTTGTTAATGTAATTTTTTTTTATTTTAATATTAACATTAACTTGATTTTAAAACTACTTTAAGTTGTTTTTACAATTAATTAAAAAAGTAATTTTATTTTATTTTAATATTAACATTAATTTGATTCTAAAGGTAAATTAATTTTATTTTCTAATTAATTTAATATTTTATTTTTTGTTATTAGTTTATTTTTTTAAAGTAATTTTATTTTATTTTAATATTAACATTAACTTGATTTTAAAACTACTTTAAGTTGATTTTACAATTAAGCCAATTTCATCCAATTAAAGCCAAACATTAAGTCACTAACAAAATTAATCACTTTGAAACCATATACAATACATTACTAGAAGTAAGTTGTTATTAATAACCTAATTAAGCCAAATGTATACATCCAATTTAGATATTCCAATTTCATCCAATTAAGCCAAATGTATACATCCAATTTCTTACAATTTGCTATTCCAATTTCATCTACTTTACATATTCCAATTTCATACAATTAAACCAAATATATACATCCAATTTGCATATTCCAATTTCATACAAGTTTATACATCTAAATTTCATTCAACAAAATTGAATGAAATTGAAAATGCATACAATCCAACAAAACAATCGAACAAAATTTATACATCTAAATTTCATACAAATTTATACATCTAAATTTCATTCAACAAATTTATAAATCTAAATTTCATCCAACAAAATGCATACAATCCAACAAAATAATCCAACAAAATGCACAACAACTTCATATCTCAAAATAATAACATCATCACTCAACAAAATTGAAAATTACTCACAAGTTATCATCTAAATAAACACAAAAACAGAAAAATCATAAAAAAAGAGGAGGAATTTGACCTTTGATTGGGGGCAATTTCGGAATGTAGCTAAATATCGTCGGATTTTAGGGTTGTGGCAGTCTTGGGGGAAGAATGGGCTAGCACCGGTCCAACAAGCAATTCCTACTCCACCAAATTGGAAATTACTCGCGAAATTGAAGAAAGCTCGAGAAAAAACGAGAGAAAGAACAGAATGCAGAAAAAAAAAATAGCAGAAAGGTAGTCTGGAAAGGGAAATCTGTGTAAAGCATTAGCGGCGACGGGCAATAGTGGCGATGCTAGGGCATTAGCGGCGACACCAGGGTAATAGCGGCGACAAGTGGGGGAAAAGTCAGCGCGTTTTTTCGCTTTCCTCTACAGCCGTTGGATTGAAATGGAATCGGACGGTTGGGGTTAAATTAACGCGGATCGCTGTAACAAGGCATTAGCGGCGACACATAGCAATAGCGGCGAATAGCGGCGACATGTAATGCGTCAACTACATGTCGCCGTTATTGCTAGGTGCCGCCGCCGGTAATGCCAAGCTTACTGATTATAAATTCATTTTCTTTTCTTGGCCTTAAATCTTTTCTAAAGTTGTTAATTATATATATATATATATATATATATATATATATATATATATATATATATATATATATATATAATCCTACTTTATATTATATCATATGCATTCATGCCTACTTTACATACACAATTTTCACAACATCACGCAAGGACTCACCCCTAGCTCATAACAAATGGTATACCACATGAAGACAAGATTTGTACTTTACTCAAAAAGTTTGTATATGGTGGAAGATGTATAGTAGCCATGTTGGAAATAAAGTTGACTAAGTCATTACTTGAGAGAAGGAAACTTGGCCTGAAATGAGTCAACTATAGCATGGACTTGAGTTGTTGAAACCTTCTTATACGTTAGATTAGATTATTATATCATGTCTTACATTTCATAGGTTCTTGTGGTGTAGGTTAATTAGTGCATGATGAGGACGCCTTGTATCTGTAGCTTTTTGTTTGGCTTCTTTCTCATCTTCTCATCCATCGCTGCTCAATTAGACTACGTTTCTAATGCAAATCTTTCAACCACATGGACCAACAATGAATCTTCTATCCCTTCCTCCAATTCCCCAGATGGCTCAAGGATCAGAATCATTCTCAGTGTAAAACACAGATTCGCTTGTGGCTTCTTCTGTAATGGAACCTGCACATCTTTCCTCTTTGCCATTCTTTTCAATACAAATGATCATGTGATCCTTTGGTCAGCCAACCGAGACAATCCAGTTGGGGAAGGCGCAATCCTGAATTTCACTGCAGCAGGAGAATTGATGTTACAGGATGTCGATGGAAGCATAGTTTGGACTACAAACACTGCAGGGAAATCTGTTGCTTTCATGGACCTAACTGACAACGGAAACCTGGTATTGTTTGATAATACTAAATCGATGGTGTGGCAATCTTTTGATCACCCAACAGACTGTTTGTTACCAGGGCAAAAATTATTTCAAGGGCAGAAGCTCATACCCAGTGTTTCCTCAACCAACTGGACAGCTCAAAAGGATTTATACCATCTAGAAGTTATCTTTCAAGGTTTGATTGCTTATATTGGCAACCCACCTCAAGTCTATTACAGTAACTTTCCAGATAACACAAATACACATATACGAAGAACTTTTATTGAGTTATTTATTGATGAGAGTGGGTCTTCCTCTTTTGATATTGTTACTGGGGGAGGAGGAAATGGTCAGCTTGAATTTGGTAACCATCCAGGATTCTCACCTCTGTATATAAAGCTAATGCCAGATGGGCATTTGAAAGCGTTTGCATGGGAATGGAATCTTCAGAAACCATTGGAAGCTGATATGCTAACCATTAATGGCTGTTATCCTTTTTCTTGTGGGAGAAATGCCATTTGCTTGGACTTTGCTAATCAACAATGTATTTGTCCGGAGACAGACTATTTTAAAGCAGTGGATGATCAACAACCCTACAAAGGTTGCTTTCCAGTTACTCCTCTCACATGTAATGCTACGCAAGATCAACATTTCATTGAACTCAAGAACATCAACTACTTTGGTGATATCGTGGACATGGAGGTTAGGGATGTAGAGGCTTGCAAACAAGCGTGTTGGAACAGCTGCTCATGCAAAGCAGCTATATTTGAGTACTCTTCGAATTCTTCATCTGGGTATTGTAGATTACCTTATGAGCTTTTTACCATGACACGTTTTGAGGCAAATGCAAATGATCGACTTCATGCTTCAGCTTTTTTAAAAGTCCAGAATAGAACATCAACTCCTTCATCTAATGGGTTCCATACTCTTGGTCTCATAGGTGGAAGTTTCGTGCTGTTTCTTATTTTGGTCGTTGGTTTTACTACGTTCATACTTCAAAAGAAAAAAAGGGGTCGTGAAATAGAAGAAGAGCATCTAGATCAAGTGACAGGAATGCCCACTCGGTTTTCCTATCAAGAATTGAAAACAGCCACAGATAATTTCAGTAAAAAGCTTGGTCAAGGAGGATTTGGATCAGTTTTCCAAGGGACTCTTGAAGATGGCTCACAGATTGCTGTAAAATGTCTTCAAGGTCTTGGGCATGTTAAGAAATCATTCTTGGCTGAGGTTGAGTCCATTGGCAGCATTCACCATGTGAATCTAGTTCGTCTTAGAGGATTCTGTGCTTGGAAATCAGAACGACATCTCGTCTATGAATTCATGAGTAACGGATCATCAGACCAGTGGATCTACGATGGAGACCGAAACCACATACTTGGATGGGAATTTAGAAAGAAAATTATTCTTGATATAGCTAAAGGTTTAGCATATCTTCATGAAGAGTGTAGGCAAAAAATCATCCACCTCGATATTAAACCTCTAAACATACTCTTAGACAATGATTTCAATGCCAAGATATCTGATTTTGGGTTGTCTAAACTCATCGACAAAGATCAAAGCAAAGTGATAACTACAATGAGAGGAACCCCTGGCTATCTGGCTCCAGAATGGTTGAGCTCATTTATCACCAAAAAAGTGGATGTATATAGCTTTGGGATCGTTCTCTTGGAGATCTTATGCGGAAGGAAGAATTTTGATAGATCTCAGCTGGAAGATAGTTGGCACTTACTTTGTGTCTTTCAGAGATGTTGGGAACATGAGACATTGTTAAATATGGTCAAGTATAGTGAAGATATGGATGGATGTGGTTCAGAAGTCGTGGAGATGATGAAAATTGGCTTCATGGTGTTTGCAAACTGATTTTACGAGAAGGCCTTCAATGTCAACTGTGATTAAGGTGTTAGAGGGAACAATAAGTGTTGAATCGAACTTGGATTACAACTTCTCGTATGCAAGAGTGCAGGAAACAACTGTTGAACACGAGAAAAGCTCGAAACCAGTGTTGCCTTCTACTCTATCAGGGCCAAGGTGAGTTGGAATTAGGTTCTTGTGGATCAGTTATATGGATCCCTCTAATGCTTATCTTTTTTTTTCTTTCTTCAAAAAAAAAAAAAAATTAAGTGGTAGTTATGAATCGTATGTATTTTCTTCCCCAATGAATAAAATGGATTTTTCCATTTCTTTATGTTTTGTCCATTCACCAGGTGAGATTATATTAACCTTTTAATATTTCATTGTTGTTCGAGCTATTATTCATTGCTTGAATATTTTGCAATCATCAACAATATAAGGTACTGGATTTGATTTACGTCAATCAGCTTAGACAACCAGAAATCCATACTCTAGCTCCTCCTTCACAAAGTTATTTAATTTTCAAATAAAGTATTCCTTCATCCCAACATTCCTCTTTGGCTTGCAAATTATGGACATAATAAAACTACAACCACCACAACAAGTAGAAGCCCTAACCTTCCAATCATGGAACCTAGAATTGTTGTAACTTGATGTTTTTTTTTTATCGGTAATGGATCAAACTTCCAATAGTGGAACCTGGAATTGTTTATCCTTGGTAATGGATGTGAAGTTTGGGAAGCAGACATAGGAAGTGAACTTACAATATAAAAGCAGAAGCATTCTGGTAAATTTGGATCAACATTCATCATTCCAATAGCTTTGAAGCTATGTAATATTTCCCACTTGAAGAATTGGAACCATGCTGAAACAGAGCTGTTTTGACATGCTTGTTTGCAAGTCTCCGTATGTGAGATTTCCCAGTAGTGTTCGAGGTCAAAATTGTGCTCCTATGAACATACTGTAGAACCAATGCTCCAATCGCAGTGATCCAGTAGTGCATGGGTGGTAACATGATAGTCTAGATTAGCACACCAAATGACTTGATGGAACATATAGCAGGTGGAAACGATATCAGATGGTGGGGGGTCCATTACAGAAGAATTCACAGGGGAATGATACATCGCCAAATTCCAAAATTATAAAAAGAAATGGTCGATTACTTTAGAGTGTATCATCTTCGTCCCAAAGCAAATATAAAACCTGCAATAAATTGACCAGAAATAAGAAAGAAAAGGGATAAGAGAAAGAGACCTGCAGTGGCGTTCTCGAGCATAGATAAAAACCCCTGCAACTCATAAATGTTCATATTCTGTTTTATCCTTATTCATGAAAGTCAATTGAGGGGATGGCTTTTGATCAACTGAATTTTAAATGGAAATCCAAATGCCCCATTACAAATACAAGGTTTAGGTTTCAACAATGGGTTTCCTTCACGAGATGATCTAGTCACATTGTTGTTGCTTTCAGAACTCTTGCCTCTTTATCACGAACCAATCCTTTCTGACTACCATTTTCTTTAGCTTTTCTTCTTTGCTCACTTTCAGATCTCCATGTTCTAAGCTCCTGTAGTCCTGTTCTACAGCAAGTTTCCCTCCTTAGCCTTCTTAGCTTTTTCCTTCACAATCGAGATTTGTTGCCTCTTTAAAACCAAATCTGAGTTCACTTGCTCAAGGTTATTCACAGTTTTCACTTCTGATTCTTTTGCTAAATCAATCTGGGACATAGCTTTTGACACCCTTGAACTAGCTTTAATCTCAGCTTCTTGAGCTTTTCGAGTCAACTCATACTAATCCTCTAAAGAAATTGTAATTCCAGATTCTCCTTCACTCTTATTGCTTCGAGCTGATTCGGTAATGAAGTGCAGTAATTGCTCCAACGGATCACCTTGAACAGCCAGCTTAACCCTATGATTCAGATTCCTATTCTCTTCACATCAGTATGGCGGAAAACTCGTAAAGAAATAAGAGATTGATACATTGTCGACATTCCAGCGATCCTTTCGATTCCTGTTGTTACCAATTCTCCATTCCCAGATTTCCTTTCCCATATTTAATCCACTGATCAATGCAGAAAACCGCTCAGAAATTGAATGAAAATCAATGCAAGAAGAAATTGAATTTCAGAGAGCAGGGAAATTCAATCAAGTCATCAAAAAAAAAATTGTAGCAACGAGGAACTGATGCAGACGATCAAAGGAAGAGGCGAGAAGAAACGATCAGAAATCACAGTAGGAGAGGTTGAAAACGTTTGATTCCACCGACGTTTTACCGAAATCGCCGGAAGAGGGTTTTACCTAACATCCCCGTATATCTTTTAGGAAAATACTTGTAGTAAAAAAACGGGGTAATTTTAAAATAGACATGAAAATTGGACATTTCCAGGTATAGAAATGCATTTTGCGGAGCTACTCCGCGGAATGACAAAATCGTAATAAAAAAAAAACCTCAAGATCCATTCCGCAAAGCTACAATAGATTCCGTGAAAGTAGCTCCGATGAATGGATCTTGAGGGTTTTTTTTTGGGCATCGATTCTTCGGAATTTATATTTATTACCCAACTATTATTTTCAAAAAAAGATTATCATACTATCATAATCTTTTCTTGAAAATAATTAGTTGGTGAATAAATATAAACCCCGAAGAATCGATCCGAAAAAAAAAAAAAAAAACAACTCAAGATCCATTCCTCGGAGCTACCTCCGCGAAGCTCCGCGGAATCTACTGTAGCTCTGCGGAATGGATCTTGAATTTTTTTTAATACATTGATTTAATTACGATTTTGCCATTCCGCGAAGCTACAATAGATTCCGCGGAGCTACCTCCGCAGAATGCATGTCTATACCCGGAAATGTCCATTTTCATGTCTAAATTTTGAAAATACCTCCTATTTTTTGGCTATTGCCGATATTTTCCCTATCTTTTATTCCTTGAAAATAAAAATATAACCGGTTAATCTATGGTTGCCTACAATACCAGTAACATAGTATTTTTAGCATTAAAAAAATAAAAATGGTATTTCTTTTATATACTTTTGAAACTTTGTTACTTTTTAGATCATTTTCCCAAATATAAATTTTCAGAAATATCATATTATTTTGAAAAAATTAATTTTGAAGTCCTAAATTTATTTATTTGAATAGACAAACCCAGACAAATTTATTTATTTTAGTTATTTTTAATATTTTGAGCAGGTCATAAACAAAATCATTAATTCCCACAATAATGAGATTTTTCTAGAAATTTCCTCAAAAAATTTATATAATGTCTAAACGTATTTTTATGTATTTTTTAAGTATTTTTATATAGTTTTTGTATGTTTATGTATTTCTTTTAGTTTTTTAAGTTTTTTTATATAATTTATTATGTATTTTAAATATATAAACGTATTTTTTTTTACATATTTATGTAAAATTTTAAGCATTTTTATGTATTTTTATGTATTTTGGTATATTTTTTATGTAGTTACGTATATTTTTAATCTTTTTATATAGTGTTTTACATATTTTTATGCATTTTAAACGTATACACGTGATTTTTACATATTTATATGTATTCTTTTAAGTATGGGAAATCTCCAATAAAGTCCTAAAATTTTGGTTCGGTTTACGTTTTAGTCTTAAACTAATTTTTGTTAACGAAAAAGTCCTAAAAACCGGCAAAAGTATGCATTTTGACCCCTTTTGACCGTTTGGAACCGGCAACAAATTAATTTGAGACTATTTCATATACTAACCTAAAATATTGGGACTATTTCACAAAATGACCTAAAATACTGGGATTTTTTCTGCAAAAAAAATATTATGACTTTTCTGCAAACAAAAACTTTATTATTATTATTATTATTATTATAAACAAGTATAATAGTTTTTAAATTCATTATTATTAATATTTTTAATAATCATATAAATACACTTAAATAAAAATATATTAAAGAAATTATTTAAAGGTGAAGGTAGTGGTGATGGTAATGCTTTAAGCATTGAAATCACTAGTTGTATGTCCTCACTTTGTATATGATCATTTCACATTTCTTATTATTGTTTTCAATTCAAAATATTAACACTTAACAATTTAAAAGAAGTTGCATATTTGTAAAATTATGTATAAATAGTTTAAGATAAAAGGATTTCTCACTTTGTATATAAAATTTCTTAAGATAGAATGATTTCTTTTCAAATCCAAGAGATCCACAATAAATATTTTCATTGGTGGCACATATCAAAATTCAAAAATATTAATTAGAATATCTTATTTAATAGAAAGAAATATGATTTATTTTGCTTTATCACACTATATCTGCTATGTTTCCAAAAAAACCACAAGGATAAAGTAATGAAAAAGAGCAACACACATGTTGGTAATTCAAAAATACTTACACACAAGACATACACGCATATCACATGCTCACTATTTGTAAACAATTTGAAAAATCAATAGTTTCTTTTAAATTGTTAAATGCTAATATTCTGAATTAAAAACAATAATACTAAATGTGAAATGACCATATACAAAGTTAGAATATACAAACAGACATTCATGATTTCAAAGCTTAAAGCATTACAATCCGTTCAACCTTCACCTTTATAAAATGTCTTTAATATTTTTTTAATTTAAATGTACTTATATGTATTATTAATAATATTAATAATAACAAATTTAAAAAATAGTATACTAATTTATATTTTTAATATAATAATAATAAGATTTTTGTTTGTAGAAAAACCCTAATATTTTTTGTTTTTGCAGAAAAGTCCCAATATTTTGTGTCTATTTATGAAATAGTCCTAAATTAATTTATTACCGGTTCCAACCAGTCAAAAAGGGTCTAAATGCAAACTTTTGCCGGTTTTTGGGACTTTTTCGTAAACAAAAATTAGTTTAGGACTAAAACATAAACCGTGCTAAAATTTTAGGACTTTATTGGAGATTTCCCTTTAAGTATTTTTATATATTTTGGTATCTTTTTTATGTATTTTTTTTTTACTTCAAGTTTCATTGTAAGCTAAC